ACGTTAAAAGTGAGAGTGATATATTCTAAATTTGCAGTGGGTTGTGATGAGCTATGAGCCTAGGAGAGAGGAAAAGTCACTGTAATAGCGGTATGTTTGTAGTTCCATCACTTTACATATTTGGTATGAGCTTTAGCTGGTGGAGTCTTCTGTGCGATAATCAGCTTTTATTAAAAAACCAAAACCAAACAACAAGAAAAGTAATGTATCTCATTACTGCTAACCAAGTGATTCCTGAATGTGAAAAAAATCAAAAGAGAGAAAGGAGCCATAGTAATAGGACTAGAGTTTAGCATTACCCAGACCTGGTCCTAAATAATTCTTCTCTAACAGTAGTGACTTTCTTCTATTTTCCTGGGAAGGACCTTGAAGTCAGAATAAGTGCTGTATGCAGAACGTCTTGCACTTGTGCATTAGAATCCCCAGGTGAAACACTGACTTCTTTCAGGATTTTGTACCTAGGTCTCATGCAAGGCATCTACATTCCCATAGCCACAGACCTTGCATGTGCAGCGAGTTGAACTCAATACCATGTTATCACAGGGTAGGCATGATAAATTCACTTGCTACACAGGTGCAGTTCAACTGCATGGTGGATATGATTTAGGTCTGACATGTATATCTGCACATCTCACAGCTGCTTTCCAGGTAACTAAAAAATATTTGGCTGCATATGAAATATGAAATAAATTATAACTGTTAGGCTTTTAATATAGAGCATATAATTTAAGTATGTAATAATGAAAATCGTGTTTTATACAAGATATCAAACAGCCCAGCTCCCAGCTGTTAAATCTTGGAGACACTGGTTCAAATTGGGGGTAAAAGGGATTAAGTATATGGGCTTATGCCTTAAGATAACATAGGCTGTAGCATCTCTTTAAAAAAGCTACAGCCGGTAAAGGAAAGAGCTTAAAGGTGCTTTTTTTTCCCAGGTATTTTTGGCAGCTGATTGAATATGAATGGAGATTTCCTTTAGAAGGAAAGGTACATAAGCAGTTGCACAGCATGCTAAAAATGGCTGTCAAGAGAAACTTTCATAATGCACCAGATATTTAGTGTATATTACAAACAAACCCAGCTTTTTAATCTGCAGACAATGAGTGACTGTTGTGATCCAGAACAAGTGATGTAAACCAAACTGTTCAAAGATATTGCTTAGAAGGATAAATGCATGCATGCATCTGGCCACAAGGCCTTTTAAGTTTATGGGCAAATTAGCTACGTACTTGTCATAAAGATATTGTCCAGTAGTTTCTAATAATTTACAGCATTATGAACATTCTTAGACAGGTCACTAATTTTAGCATCCAGCCTAGTTTTAAGAGTTTGGGAACTGCCTTTATAGACATTTATTATTGGATTCTGCATCAGATGGCAGTCTTCTGTTCTTCTTTGGCAGATTCAGGTTAAAGGGGAAAAGGTGGAAAAAAACACTCAAAAGGAAAGACACTGAAATGCAGTGTTTCATGATCTTAGTCTAGAAATTAGAGTTGCCAGTCAATGACTTGGAAATCCAGGACTACACTACAAATCCTTAATGCAACTCCTTTCCCCTGTTTTTTTTTTTTTATATATTTTATTATTATCCTTGGAAAATATGACATTTCCTCTTTCCTTTTGTGTATCTGTTAAAAATGTTATTTTTAAAGCTCCATCTTTTGTCCATCACCCTACTGCTCCCCCTCTGACAGTGATTATTCACCCCCTATAGGGGCACGTATCAAACCCCCAGTTTCTGTCAGACAGAGAAATCTCTTCCTTACTGGTATTTGTTTAATTTTGAGGCTTTTGGTGTATGTTAAGTAGTATAGTCCCTTACAACACTGTGGTGCTTGATGTGCGCGCTTTCTGGAGATACTGCACAGCGGGCAGAGTTCTTTGCAAAGAACTCTAAATATAGTTGGTTGCACTTCTAACACTGTTGTCTTTTGATTTCTTTTTGACTGAATTTGTGTTTTCCATCCTTCCTTTAGTTTCTCTCTTTAGCCTTTTTTTTTTTCCTGTCTCACAGCCCTGTTTTCCCTTAACATCTCCAAAGCATTGAAAAGGGCAAATACTAGCTAATCTAATCTCTCCACCCTCTCTTCTGCACTAACAAAGCTTTTTGCTTCCCCTGCCTCCTCTTCTTTGTTTTCTTTACCTTTCTTTCCCTTCCCCCTCAAAAAATCCACCACTCCTATTTAAAAGAATTGGTTAATCTTCAGTAGGACATGCAATCATTGCGACTTAACAGACAAAATCTTCTGAATTTTCCAGATGTGCCTGTGTGTCCTTACACCAGATTTGTACCTCCTGTTGCAATATATGTGTAAGGACAAGAAAATAAAGAGAAAGATATTTCAGGTTTTCCTTTCCTGATTCCCAACAGAATTCTTTTGTCTATTTTAGCAGAGTAGCCTTGCAGCTGAATACAAATGCTATATTCTGTCTGGTAGCTTTCTAGGTTTTTGTTTGTGCTAATGTCTGAAGGTTTGTAAATTTTTCATTTGCAGTTGGGCCACTGTTTCCTTGAATGAAGATGATAGGACCTTAGGCCTTTTCTAAGGCTGCTTCTGCTTCTGTCTATCTGCTGCATGCTGATTCTCTCCGATAGGTCCAAGTGTGTCAGTTTGGCAGTGTTCCCAGCCGCCATCAGCATTTCTGCATTCCCAGAGTCCAGTCTTGATTAGCACAAACATGGACAAATACAGTGTATTGAGCTTTGCTCCCTTGCTGTACTTCAAAGGGATTAGGATTTTTTTTTTATATAGAATAATATTAGAGCAGTCAATTAATGAGCATAAATGTTAGTCGCTGGCAATCCTCACATTTGCTGCATGTAGGAATCAAAATTCAGATGTTTATGTGTTGGGGGGTGATATCTCTGAGTGACACAGGCCTTGAGGTATGCAGTTAAAAAGAAACCTGTCTTGAATGGTTCGAACTGTTAAAACTGATACAAGTATGCACTTCAATGCCATGCATTTCCAGTGTGTTCTTGCTGCTGTAGTGGGCTGCACGATTCCCTTTATAGCAGCACTCTCTCTAGTTTCTGCTACATTCCTAAAACAGAACAAACTGCCAGTGTAACCCATGAGCATTCCTG